TTGGTGGTATTTAAATAAAAAATAATTTACAGCAGTTAGTAGACTCATCCATTTCCTTCATGAACATACACTACAAAGTTTCACAGAATTCTAACTTCCTACAAAGCAGCTGGGCATTGTGGGATTGCCACTGGGCTACAACCCAGAGCTGCTGCACATGTGACTGGAAGGCAGGGCCTACAGCAGCTCAGGAGAAGCGATTCCTCAAGAAGAGGCACCTGCTACAGTGCTCTCCAAACCAACTTCCTCTAAGGCCCAGGGGGATGTTTCAAGGTAGCGTATTCCAAAAGTACCATCAAATGTTGGTATCACTCGATGGTGCTCAAGTGGTCTATAGCTTGGACCACTTTTGAGGAAAGAAATGGTCACGGCGAATGACATTAATGGGCTAAGGCCTGCGAGGCTAAACAAATCCACAGTATGACCAGTCTACTCCATGCAGAGCCCAGCCATACTCACAGGGCCCAGAGTGCTAGCCCCGGACAGAACACTACACTGTTGTCACAAAAAAACTTCATCCTGCCATGTAGTTTTTCTTCTAAGAGAACGTGTCAGATAATTTGAGCATATATTATCAGATACAAAGAATATTTATATTCCACAAAAATATTCAAGTGAAAACTCCGAAGAGTATAAAAGCATATAACTGATTTTCTGTATGTTGGCTTTAAGAAGCTGTTATGGGTAAATGGAAGGTATTTACTGTACTGAACAACTCTGAAAAGAAAACCTATAACTCTGAAATTGCTTCTAATCTGTCTGAGTAACTTAGCAAGACCCTATCTCAAATGATGGGAATGTAGCTCAGTGAGGCCGTAGGTTCAATACCCCATACCACAAAAACTAAAAAGAAAATGAACACCTCAATGCAATTAAGTACTACTAAAACAACAGTTTCCATACTCTGGTACACATCAGTTTCTTGAGAAGCTTAGATTGCTTTGTGAACCAGTGTGCGTTAAGATACTCATCAATAATGCAAACTAACAGGTCATTTCCATACACCTTTGCTTTTTCTAACACTAAAAAAAAGATCATTTCAGATATAGCATCATCAGACTTTAAAGCTAGTCTTTGAAATGTTCTATGTAAGTAGAACATGTGATTTACCCATCTTGACCCAATATGACTGCCATGAGTTCAAAAGACAGAACCACAGGCCAGTCCATTAGCTGGGTAATCTCTGACTACATGAAAACATTTATTTATAAAATACAAGCAGCTGTTATGGAGACTTTGCTTCCATCTTCTCTTTCTTTTCTTCCCTGTAGACAATACAACAGGAAAGCATGGCATGACGAGTACTGTTCTCAGCATGCGAACGCAACCGATTATCCACACACACATCAGTATCACCATTCTCACACTGGAGACTCAGCTGCAGGAACATCTTCATCTGGGCTACAGTAATAGTCCACAAAACATGTGTGTCCATCTTCATTTTTTATCAAATACTGTAATGAGAGGAATCCCCGGTCATCTGTCCTGATAGATACTTTACATGATAAAACCAGTGCCTTTGTAGAGGGCTTCAGTAAGGAAAGCTTATACCTGTAGAAGAGTACATAAAAAGTTGTTTGGTGTTTGGATACACAACACAGTGCTTGTAACTCTAAGTAAAGAACAAAACTTAGCCAAGTACTACTCAGCAAATATACGAAAAAAATCAAAAACTTACAATTTGATAATATATTCTCTTGCTTTGTTATTCAAACGCTACTACAAGCCCAAATATTTAGGTACATCAAGCATCTTACACACGTTTTTAAAAATCTCACGCATTTTTATTAACAGACTGAAATCTGATATTTAACCTTACTGTCATCACCAATGGCTACCTCTATAGTACAAACTGACCTGTTGACCTGGGTCTGATTACACTGAAATGTTTCCATCAAATCACAGTCTTTGGGATAGTCAAGGTGGGAGCTCCCTGCATTTCCAAAAGTAGATAACCTGTAGTAAAAAAAAGAGTAACCCATTTGTTCACTGGTCCAACAAGAACATTAGGATCCAAAGAAAGCACTTTGTTCAGGAGCTCATTCCGGCAGGTGAAAGAGACAAAGTAAATGCTGAGCTGAGAGTGGTGGCACAGGCCTATAAATCTCAGCTCGTGGGAGGCTGAAGTAGGTGGATCACCACAAGTTGGAGGCTGGCCTGCATTACGTAGTGCGCTCAAGGCAGCTTGAGCTACACAGAAAGATCCTAACTCTGAAAACAAAAATGTTACCAATTGCTTTAATAAATGCCATAATAAAGATTTCCAAAGGATTCTGTGAAGGCACAGGGCAACTAGCAAGTTAGCAATATATCTGAAGAAAATTGGTCTCATCAGTTTATATATATAATAATGACTTTTCCACATCCTTGAATTTAGAAATATGCCATTGAGAGAGAAAAGGCATGACAGAAGACTGATCTAAGCTTACGTGGGTCTGTCCCCCAATCCTTACCACTGTGGTCTGAAGCACTTAGGGCTTTTTTTGAACCTTATACTGCTCTTAAGCAATTTTAGGGTTTTCTTTGCTTACCAAAATCAGCAACTAGGCGCAAGGGCCAGGGGTTTGATCCCCAGGCCTGCTGTGCTGGCCCTGCACATGGGGCACACTGAGATAGCGATTGAGATTGGGCGTGGTGGCGCACACCTGTAATCCCAGCACTTGGGAGATTGTAAACAGGAGAATCACTACGAGTCCTATCTAGTAGTGAGACCCTGAACACCTGTAGACCCTTTCCTAAAGTACAGAAGAAAAAAAAATATCAGCAACTATGTAGACAGTTTAAAATGTTTACACATTATCAATCTGTAGTAATCTATTAAGCATTTGTTATGTGGTCTGCACACTAGTAAGTGCAATATGAGCACTGGGGTCAGACCTCAGTGTGGGGTGGCCCCAAGCCCCATCCCAGGTGATACTGCTCCTAGAGTCCATCGCTTCTGTCATCTTCCAACATAGCCTCTCTCCGAATATCTTCTGCTTAGGCACAATGCCCAGCCATGACAGCTCTCAAATCTAAATTTCTAGTCTAGACTTAACGTCTGAGTGCTACACCCTCACGTTCAACTACTTCATGTTGTCACAACTGCCTCAAACTCAACAAATGAAAAAGAAATTTTAACTCCCACTTCCCTACTACAAAACTGTTGCCAATGTTAGAAATAAAAAGATACCATGATATACCTAGTCATCTATGTAAAGAGTTCATTTGAAAGGGGATCCTCTGAAATACCTTTAGCTGAGGTTTCATTGATCTCTGTGTTAACATTTAACACATCTCAAGCCAAATTTTATTTGCCTAATGCCATAAGACAGGCCTACAGGTCTTCTAAAGTAAAATAAAAAATGAACAGCTTATCCTTATTCTATATGTATTTATCTCCTTTATGCTTTAATATTCTGAAATCTTTCAAAAGAGAAAAAATATTTCAGTCTGTTTTAAATTGTTAAAGATTCTCTAAATTGATTTTTTTAATCCTGAAAAAAAGACTTGCCCTTTTGTGATTTGTTGGGACAAATATTAGTAATAATTGATAGGTTTGGTTGGGGGCTGGAGTGGGGAGTTGGGCACTGGGATTGAACAAGGGCCTCATCATGCAATCTACCACTGAACTATATCCTCAACCATTTTGAAAAGTTTATTTGGAGACATGATCTAGCTAAGTTCCTCAAGATGGCCTTGAACTTGTGATCCTCTTACTTCAGGCTCCCCCGGAGCTGGGATTTCAGGTGTTTGTTGCCACAACACCTAAGCAGCTTGATACTCTGACACTGTATTCTTGGTAAAAACTACTCTGCCGTAGGAAGCTCTCCTTGACCATTCCTCCCCTAAATACTCAAGTACTGCACTTACAAGTACCTCTAAGTATTTTAGTACTTATTAGTCTGTAATTCTATTCCTTCTCTATTTCACATATTCTCATATACCTTAATTTTAAGCTATTCTTCCAAGTCTTAAAACAGCTATGAGCACTGAAGGTACCAGGAGGGACTGAGCATACAAACCATATATCAAGACGTATCTCTTTTTGTATCCTGAACTCAAAAAGTAGATAAACATACTATACAATACAAAAACCTCTTCCAAATGTTTAAAACCAATTTTTTCTTATGGCATGATCTGATCTAAAACAGTAAGTAGCACAACTTTTTTATAGGCTGAAGTATTTCAGGGGTTTCTGGTTCAGGAAAAGTCTGTTGTACTTCATCTTAATTTCAAAGACTGCTAGTTACAGATTAGAAAACTTAAGTTTTCTCAGCTACAAATCAACATTGTCTAACTATAAAATCCTGAATAGTGAGTTACTCTTCTAGGTTTTAAGTCTCTTGATCTGTAATATTATGAATTAAGAATAAAAAAGCTTTCTGACTTTTGAAAACTTCTCAAAAACTGAATAAGAATTCCACAAACTTAACAAATGTGTAAGTGGAGAGACTGAGGGCCGGCCCCATGAGCTCTAAGCGCACTGCTTTCCTTTACCTGAAATAGGGCTTATCAGGAGATATGGTGATCTGTAGGACCTCACTCGTCATGTCCAGTTCAGAAAATGCTTCGCGGAGCCCCTCCGACAGCAGAATGATTTTACTGGTAACATTGGCATTGCCGAAGCCAAAATCCAAAGTTTCCTCGGGCTCCTGAGTATTGATTTTGCACACTGTTACCACTCCTCCTTCTTCCAGAAATAGCATCAAAGGGTGACCATATCCTTGGTAACACATCCGAAGTGCAGTTAAAGTCCCTGTGATGGAAAGAAATCATGCTGCACTCAGCTTTAAGGCTCTTGGTTCAGCTTTTCCAAATAACACGTGACATCAGTCAAATATAATTTATTTTGCCAAATGTCTTGTAAGAATTACAGTTCCTAGAATAACTGTAGGAAAATTGGGAATCAGAACCAAATTTAGTAAGTTTCACCTTACCAAAAATGTCTCACCAACTGCTATGGTCTCATTTTATTTATAGAGCCCACCAAAAATACATATACATCAGAAAAACTTGTATAAATATTTTAATTCTAAATTTATTAAGACATCATGAGATTCATACAATTAAACTTTCACCTCTGTATTTTTAAGTGGTGGTCAAAGTGGCAGCCATTAGCTTCCGTACTTTTTTTTAAATGTATTTAGTACCGGGCATAGACGGTCTCAATACATAGATCAGACTCATAGTGATCCCCCTATTTTCAGCCTCCCAGTGTTGGAATTTGAGGTGCACATCACCATGCCCAGTCTCAGTGTGCCCCAAGGGCAGGGCTGGCACAGCAATCGGAGGGTTGATCTCCATCCCTGAGTCTGCCTAAGCAGGCAGGGACTTTAATCCGCTGAGCTATCTGGCCGGCCCTGGCTTCCATACCTTGATTAGCATGGCAAACTGCTCAAGCGTGCGTGTGTGCATCTTTTGGGCAGTCTCTGTAAGTCTACAAGATTTCAGGGTGGGAAATCTACATAACAGTAAAAAAAGGCCAATGAAAACAGTTGCCCAATAGGCAGTGCTGTTTCTTGAAGGCTCAACTTGCGCAAGAAGTGAATGCTTTCCTATTGTCTCTATTTCCAGAGCATTCGCTATCCTAAGGACGCTTCCGACCTCTCCTGTTGGCAAATGGCCTTTACATTTGCTCAGCTTTTAAGATCATATTGGGAACAGAAGACAGTGTGTAATGGCAGGATGAATATTAACACTACAAACCACAAATGGCAAGAAGGACTATCCTCCTTACTGGACAGTTATAAAGAAGAATGAGGGAAGGCAGAAGCTTTCAGAAAAAAAACAAAACAACAACAGCTGAGAAGCACTGCATTAGAAAACGCTTAATAGTGGAGCTGTCAGTGCAAAATTAAAACATATTTTCTACAGTAAAATATATTTTCACCATTACTGAATTTTTCCCAGCTGATATCCAAGTTGCTTTCATATGAAATAACAGTAACTTTCTGAAAATTTGTTGTAGTTTTATACTCATAATAATTGCCCAAACAAATAAAAATACATATATACGTATGATAAATATTTGAGGAACCAGACATAATTAACAGGGTTAAAATATTTGGAATACAGTAAACAGGAGGCAGGAGAATTCATTTCTACTTTTCTCTGCCACTAGCTGTGTAATTCTAATCAAGGCAGGGAGACAAAACTGAAAATATTTGTGACATGTTCAAAATCTTTTCTTATGGTTCAAATTTAAAATCTATGCTCGGCACGATGGTGCAAGCCCATAATCCCAGCACTTGGGAGGCTTTGTCAGGTTTGCTGTAAGTCTGAGGTCAGCTTGGGCTCCAAGCAAAGTGCAACATAACAACCACTGTTGAATACCTATCTTATTTTTTTAAATTGTGTATCATTTCTAATGTCTTATCTATTATTCTATTCTCTTTAAAATAAACTGCATAGTGAAACCTTGTCTTAAAAAGCTTTTAAAAAAATCTTCTAAATCTTGTAACTTAAGAGAAATGTAAATACTTTCACAAATAGGAAATATAAACATATTCAATTGATATTGCAGTCATAATCCATTATAACCATTGAAAAATGAGTTAGAATTTTCTAAATATTTATATTCTAAATATGTTGCTATGTTCTTAATGTACATTTGATCATGCTGTACACTTTTGTCTTAATTTTTTAATATGTGTCAACATGTAATTATTAAGGGGCCTCACTGTGACATTTCCATACATGCGTATGTCATGCTTTGCTCATGTCCCCCTCCTTCTAAGCCCCCTCCCTTGTTATGTCTTTAATGACAGATAATAAAATGGCTCACCTGGCATGGGATTTGATCCAAAAATAGATAAACAATCTAAAAGAACAGTTAAATTAACTCGAAATACAACAGTCTCTTCCTGAACCAGAAACTCCTGAAATACTTCAGCCTATGAAAAAAGTAGAAATGAAAATGGTGTTACTACGTGAAGAAAACACTTCAATCTAGATTTCACCTTGTTTTATAAATAACGAGCTCACTGCTTGTGGAAAGTTTCTCCTTAGCAAGGAAAATATCTTAGCTTTTTTCAATTATTCATTAGAATAGTTCTACCCAGCAGTTTAATAGTGAAGGGTGTGGCGGTGATTTAAGCCCCAGTCAAAGCCTTGGAAAGCGTTTCCCATCTCCACTGCTTATCCCGTATGTGATAAACTTTTCCCTTATGTGATGCTCCCTTGCCTACTTTATGTGCTTATCCCTGAACTAGGGTTACTGAGTTTTGCCAAATTACTTAAATCGTGCCTCAATTTCCAACACGTAAACATGGAATGACAGGCGGCCAGCTGGTGAGATAGCTCAGACGTCTAAAGCGTCTGCTTAGGCAAGATTAGGCAAGCCCAGGGACCGTGGTTCGATCCCCAGCACAAACACATTAAAAAAAAGATGGGGGAGGGAGGAACAACAAAGTCTACTTGTTAGTATGGTGAGAACAAAAAATGCTGAGCTCTGGGTTAGAGTTCCTGTCCCATAGTTTAGCTTAATAAACTTTAGCCTTTATTAACCATTAGCTTTGTAAGACAAGATGAAGAAAGAATTTCTCATCAGGGGAGAAAAAGCTCAAAAAATGGCATTTTGTTTTCTGACTCTGCCTTAATCAGACCCTTGAGAATTCATGAAACTGTAAAAAGAGTACCGCGCCACAGGCTAAAAGATGCCTTTTTGATACCTGGATAAAAGCATTGGCTTGCACGCACTTCGCGTTTTCCACTGTAACCTTGATTCCATTTTTAGTAGTGAAACACGTGGCGTGGTCTCGGAAATGAATAGCTTTCAGAATGGTGGAGAAATTCCTGACGTTGTCGAGGCTGGCCACGAAGCAGTACTGGTCGGTCTCGGCTTGGACGCGCTGGGTCAGGAAGGGCATGGTCTACCGCACATTCGCTCCCGAGGGCCGCCCGGCCGACCACGGCACACCTGCGAGATGCGACAACAAACATCAGTGGTGCTGGCGAGGGCCGGGGTGTCCACGTTCGCGGCAGGACGGCGAAGCCGACCTGCGCCGACCAGATCCACGTTTCCTTCTTCCCGTCTTTGGTATCAGGGATCCGCGCAAAACTGCAAACCTTGAAAATACGCCACGGGGACGGTAACGATTACTTCGGGCAGAAGTACTGTCCGGAAGGCCAGAAGGGCTCCATTTGCCCAGTCTGTCTGCACCGCTGCCGGGTCGCCAACCAACAGATCAGGCTGGGGCGCGCGGCCTGGCGACCTCAGGAGAGACCCCGTGCGTCCCGCCACCCCACTCACCAGCCCAGCCAGGCACGACGCTGCGGCACCGTACTCAAGAGGGGAAGCCCTGGGGACGGAAACCACTGTTGTGGTGGGGTGTGGATGCCACAGAGCCCTTCCCAGGTGGGTCCCTTGACGAATAGGACTGCAGCTCGCGGGAAACCAGACAGAGGCGCGCCTCCCGCCGGTCTTTTCGGATCGTCCCGCCACAGCCGGCCCGGCAACCACAGAGATGAAGGACGCCTAGAGAGTCGAGCGTGAAGGACCCCGAAACCGGAAGCTGGCACCATAGAGCTGGAGCGGGACCGCGGGACCGGGCGGAGATACCATAGAGAACGGGGAGGAGAGAGGCCGAACCGGAAGCACAGTCCTGAGCGGAGGTGCTGGGGCAAGATGGCGGCGACCAAGAGGAAGCGGCGTGGGACCTTGCAGGCTCCGGTGAAGAAGCCAAAGAGGAACGAGAAAGATGCCGGGCCTCCAGTTAAGTCGTCAACTGTGGCAGAAGAGATGGAGGAAGCTGAAAGAGCCCGTATCCCAGGCCCTGTTTCCAAGGTAGGAGTTACGCTTGGGGAGGCGATTCCATGCGCCTTCCGCGGGGCTGCCAGTTCAACTAGTGCTCCGCTAACAGCTCAGTCAGCCTGAACTGGGCACGATGTTTAAGTCTGATCCTCGCGTACGTGGCCGCCTGCCTGCGGACGGCGGCGTACGGACCCTTACCCTACTGCAGCGGGCGCCTCCCGGCCAGGTCACCGAAGCTCCTGTGTGCTTTCGCTAACTTCGGTTCTGTCTGGGGAAACGCTTTTCCTCAGCTCCTGTCTCCGTTGGTCATGCCCTCATCCCGCCGTAGTCAGCCAGTGTCGATCATTAATCCTGAAAATTGTTGTACAAGCCTTGAAAGAGTTGATGTCTTTGAGATTGTGACCCTGATTTATTTGATCAGGTCTTTAGCTTAAGGTGTAGTAAAAGCTATACTAGATAGGGTAATTCTGTCAGCGTTTTCTAATGTGCCAAGGACCGTACCTGGGTAGACTCCGTTGGCCTCCGTTGGCAAAGATGGCAAGAGTGAGATCGCTTTTTCAGTTGGAGTCTAGAAGGACACTAAAATTTCTTGGAATTGATAGATTTTTATTTAAAAAGTGAGCACAGGTTCTCGTTAAGCGTGACTTTCATCCAACTAAAAGCGTCTTTAGGTGAAAACTGAAGACCAGGATTGCCTTTATTTAATTTCTGTATCCACCTCTTAACATAATACTCTAGCTCTTAATAGATAATAATAACCCTGGGTAGTGTGATAACTCTGAGAAAAGAGTGACTCAGAATTGAAAGATAATTACGTAAATTGTAATGCTGCTAGTAATAGTGACATCCTTAGCTTTTTGGTCTTTTGCAAATTAAGGAATGAAAATACTTTCTGTTGCTCAATGTTAACCTTACCCTTGTGTAGATTTTTGTATTAGTGCTCGCTCTCTTCTTTAAGGAACAGAAAAAGGGTCAGTGGTGTAGGCATGTAATACCAGTATCTGGGAGGCCAGCGATGTCCAGACAGCACAATTTAGCAAGTGTAGGGTTAATATTGGGCAACAGTGATGTACAAAATGAAAATTATTTTTAACATTCAGTGTGACGGCTATGTCATGTTCAGCTTTCTTTAGAAAACCCTTCAAAATAAGATTGTGGACAGAAAAAAAGGCTTTTTTTTTTTTTTTCTACAGTTTTATTGATAAACAGCAATGAGACAGTTTCAAATCAAATCGGAAGTACAGTTTCAACAAA